GGCCGATGGGATGGGCCACGCACTGGCCAGCAAGTAAACTCCCACCCTTCCGCTGTTCACTTGCAGCTAGTTTATGCCCGTTTTGGCGGAACGGCAGTTCACCGGCCAATAGAGAGACCTCCAGACTCGCACTTAGCCTTCGGTCACTGCTTTTGACATGGTGGGTAGTGCTCCCGCCAGTGGGTGAGCATTCCTTTTTGTGGCTTCCCTCCTCTTCGCCACTTCCCCTGGCGTACAAGAACTGCGTATCGGCCAATCGGTAAACCTCAGATCCCTGTGGCTCGCCCTTTTGCTCCTCCGAGTAGCGAGACCAATCAGTACTTCGACCAGCGGGTAACTCCCTACCTCTTACTTCTGCAATTTTCGACAGTTGCCCGTTGCTCGCTACTCCGCTCTCAACCAAGGTGTGCCTATGCCCGTAAGAACTCTACCTCCTCCCCCCCCTTGGAGATATCCTACTTCCACCGGATCTGGCTGCTACCTCGACCAGGTACGAGCAATTCACACTCCTCTTCCCATCGAGCTTCAGCGGTCGGATGCGCAACGCACCAGTTTGCAGGTAAGTCTCCAACTCGGCCCGGTCGCACCACGCAAGCTCCTATATAGGCTACAAGCAAAGTCGAGTGAATCTTTCGCTAGAAACGGCGAGGATTCATCCCCTTCTTCAAGTTCTCCCTTTAATGCACAACCCCTCCCCTTAACTTCTACTTCTACTAATTCTTTCGCTAATCTAACTTCACAATCAGATTCGCCCGGCGCTCAAACCCCTAGATAGCGTCTTCGTTCATCGAAAACGGTCGAGAAACGGGCGATTAAGCTAGCCTTCACCCCCGCTTCTTCCACCATGCCTGCAACTCGGCGCACCCACTTCTCTACTAAATCCCTTCTTACTAACTCCTAGCTTGTTATGAGCGTAGATTTGGGGTCGCCCACCTTCAAAACCCCCGAATCGACTCTTTGTTCGCTAATTTTCATCGAGGTGCGAGCAAGATGGCACTTCCCCCTCTCGTCCTCCTCCACTTCCGTCATCGCCCGCGGAGCTCCTTCTTCTCCTACCCTCTAACCCACTAACTCTCTCCTCGATCCGACTTCAGAATCGCGTTCGCCCAACCTTCAAACCTCGAAATCACTTCCTTGCCCGTTTCCTTCCTCCCGTGCGCACCTAGCGCAGCCCAGTGGCCAGATTCATCCCTG